AACTATGGGGAGGAAGTGGGAGGGGAGCTGTTGCATTGTGGTAAACTGTGGTCAATGACATGAGATAAAGTATATGTGAACTGCTGTATGGAAAGAATTTGCTCCGTAAATCTTCACCCAAATCACAATAAATTTAAAAAAAAAAAGAATTCTATCCATATGAAATAACTAGAATCTAATACTCTGTTAGGAGTTCCACATTACTCTATTAGATTTCAGTGCTCCTCATGTTGCCATAATTCAAATGTTAGAATAACCCCTTTTAAATTTCTTTAGCCCAATTGAGTTAATTTTCAATTTCTAATAAGCAGCTTTCAAATTTATTGCATTCTGTTTTCTTCCAGATGGATTTGTGGGGAGTGACAACTTAAGTGCAAAATAATTTGATTATTACAACAGAGAAAAGGAAAAGTATGTTTTGAGGTTGTGATTTCCTTGATCATTTATATACAGGCTTGCATCTATCTCTTCTTTGTCCATAGTCACAGCACACTTTGACACACAAACCAAAACAATGATGGAATGGGGTGATGTATATGTGCCATTGCTATTCTGTGAAACAATATTGGATTTAGATTATAGTTCTTTTGAATATTCAGCCAAATTCTACAAAAATCTTAGCTGAGAGGAAAAATGCAATTGACAAGTAACATTTTAAAAATAAATGTTTGGCCCATGTGTGGTGTCCCATTGACATGTTCCAAAACTTTTAATATTACTGGAAAGAAGCCACTGATGGTGGACAAAGTGACTCTAGTTTACAAAGCACGTGGGCATTCCTTTCAAAGAAAGCAAACATAAGATAATTTGAGCCCTTGTATTAAAGTAGATTCAAGTGATAAATCATGTGGGCTGAAATCTACAGATGGACTGTGACACAGCTAATTTAGTCACAACTGTCCACCACAGGGAAACTTCACAATAGATAAAGGGCTATATATCAGTTAGCAAAGCTGTCTTAAAGCCAACCCCAATGTGTTTGCAAGTAGGAGCATAATTCTATGGCTATAATCAACAAAGAAATATCAGGCCAACCCACTGAGCCCAATCAAACCCATATCTCGCTGCAGTTTTATAGAGATTAGTATATCACATGAGGCAAATGCTGTTTTCTAACTTACAATGCCACACTGCTACTTTGCAAAAAGAAAAAAAGTGTAAGCCCTGTTCTTCAACACCAGTGAAATGGAAGCATTAAGAGACATTGTGTTCTGGGTGGCTCAACAATTGTAGCATAAAATAAATGTCTTGTAAGAGAACATTTTTAAAAGTCAAGAAAACGGATAATTAGGGTTTGGAAAATAAACTATCATGATAAAAGTTAAAAAGAAAAGGGATGGGGGGGTTTCTCAGAAGACCCTGCACAGCAGGGTGTACAATGAGGCTCCCTTATTGCGCAGCTATTGCCATGGAAACCAGAGCATCTGGCGTTGGGTATTGTGACGCCAGGTCAAGACCCATTGGTCCTCTCTCCCGCAGATGCCCTCCCGAGTCTTCATGGTGCCGCTGCTTAGTGAATGAATCTGCCTTCCCGCGGAAGTGTTGACTCCAACTAACCTACCTGGAGAGACTAGGGATGACAGAACCTCAGTGTCTTGTATCAGTTCAAGTACAGCAGCCTTCGGTCCGTGATCCATCTCAGATCACCAGCAGCCTATACCTTAGTAGTGGTGTGGCTGCCAACAACAAATTGGTGCTATCTAGCAACCGTATCACCGCAGTCATCAACGTATCGGTGGAAGTGGTAAACACCTTCTATGAAAACATTCAATATGTGAAGGTCCCTGTGGTCGATGCACCCACCTCCATCCTCTATGACTTCTTTGACCCCATAGCTGACTACATCCACAGCGTAGAGATGAATCAAGGCCGCACGCTGTTGCACTGTGTCGCAGGAGTAAGCCGCTCGGCTTCCTTCTGCCTTGCCTACCTGATGAATTATCACTCCATGTCGCTGCTGGATGCCCACACCTGGACGAAGTCTTGTCGACCCATCATCCGGCCCAACAACGGCTTCTGGGAACAGCTAATCCACTATGAGTTCAAGCTGTTTAGCAAGAACACCGTACACATGATCAACTCACCAACGGGTTTAATCCCTGATATCTACCAGAAGGAGGCTGGATCGATCGTGTCAGTGTGAGCCACCCTGGTCAGCAAGATCTACCATTGCACTTATACGAAGATTGAACTTGAACTGTTCTACTGCTGTTCATAGAGAAAACCAGATGCCTTTTATAAGTGCAAGAGAAAAGGAAGGGTTGATGCTGTTTTTAACCTAATTACTACCTATCAAAAATAAAATTCTTTGAATGTAAGATGGTGAAAATATGTTTTACTGTGTGAGTGGAAGGTCATGGCTACTGAAGCCTGGCCACAGAGGAGGATGAGGATGTCCAGCTCTCATGGACCTGCCAGCAGACCCAAGTTATGTGGCAGGCCTGGAATCCTGCATCCCTTCTCCAGGCCCACTAATCCAAGAGTAAGTTCCTCAGAGTCTCACCTAGTTCTTTGGATTTTAAAGCCAGAGCTTCAGGTATCCTGTCACCTCTTGTGCTTCTCATGGTAAGTGTCAACTTACTGGAGAAGTGTTCGTCAAGAAATGCTCCAAGAGCCCTGGGGAAGCCGGAGGCCACCTCTACTGCCACTTTCAATCACAGTGGCCAAACTATAATTCTCTAGATAGGGTTTATGCATAGTTTTAAAAGAAAGTATTCTATATGCATTTTATTTGTTGTTGTTTTCAATGCTGTTCTACGTGGCAAGGTCTCAAGATGCCCTCTGTCATCCCCCACCAGGTTTTGATGAAGGGGGGGGGGTTGATGGGCAGTGGTTCTGACAGCTAGATGTACTGGCCAGCACCCAGCCCTGTCATCTCTGTTACCTCCTCCCTATGTAACTTCGGCCTTTCAGAGCCTCAGTTTCCTCACCTGTCAAAAGTAATAATAACCCGTCTCTCATCTGTGGTTGTGAGGACTAAATGATTAATTAAACTGACACATGGTACTGCTTAGTATAAACAGTAACTCTGGTTATTAATGATATCCTTTGGCCCTGCTAGTCAGAGGTCAGCACACTCATCTTCATTTTCCTCTGTATGCACAGCCCTTTATTATTTACGTTACTCTTCAAAAAACTCATCCTACATGTTTAAAAAAATAAATGGTTTAAACTCTTTTTAGACGCAACTTCAGAGGAGATCTAGATTTAAAAACCTTTTCAGAGTCCCCTTTGTGTTTAATCCATGTGTAACCAAGGTGTCATGAAGGAAGGAGTGCACTTACAGCTCCTCCCAAAGTGCCTTGTTTAGAATCACTGACCATTAGATAGAGTCAGTGCCCTGGTCTGGCTAACTACGGGGATCCATGGGGATACTTGCCAAAGGCACAAATGAAGGGGCCCCACAAGTAGGTCTTGGAATCTAGAATTGTTCAAACTCAAACTGAGATGTGGGAATCTGGCCTGGGATCAACTATTCTAATCCAGAAGTTTTCAGACAAACAATATATGAAACAAATCAAAGCACAATTGTTCAGCTGTTCCAGCTGATAAAGAGCTGTGGATCCAGAGCCCAGTGGAGCTCCAATGCCTTTTCTCTCCAAACCTACCCAACCCCCATTTTCGCAAAGGGAGTGCCTAGGGGAACTATTAGGGTGGAAAGAATGAAAATCACTGCTGTAGACATCCTTCACTTTTACAGATGGGAAAACAGGCCTACAGAGTATAAGGACCAGTGCAGCAGAGCCCCCACAAAATAGCAGAAACCTAGATGGAAAATTTCTTTCA